TACCCAGAATCCTTAACACAAACCCCAGTTCTGGACAGTATGCATGCTAATCATTTGTAACAAGCTCCCTCTATCTCCTGCTGCCCCTGTTTATCAGTAATACATTCAGGAATTAAACATCAGCTTAAGCCTCTCAAACTGTGTATTTCTAAGGTTTTCATTTCAGAGTTATCAGGCCCAACTCTCATCCACTCTACCCAGGAAAACTCTACAGTAAAAAAAATCTCATTTGTAACAGTTGAAACAAGACCCACTTTCATTGAAACAATTCCAGATTACATGGATGTAATGTAAAACCAAGGGTTCAAGTTAGAATTAAAAACGTTTAACCATTCCTACCGACGTACCCAGGTCTCGTTACTGGACTTTTTATTGGAGATGAGATGGTCACATTGCAAACAGCGCTAGAATAGAACGTCCATATCATCACTTCCGAACTCCTGGCATTTACGCATGGCCATGTGAGAAGTGATCAGTTCAAAGGATTCACTTCCTGCATCTTTCTCAATCACAGAAATACTTCAGCTACTTCAGAACAAAATCTACCGAAGAACTCAAGAGATTGAAACCCACAACTACAAGGAACTGCTAGAACTAAAGTGGGGAAGATTAAGAGCATGGCCAGTATCCCAATCCTCTGCAAAGCAGTTGTTTAATGAAACGTGTTGGAACTTATTTTTATTTAAGAAGTGGTCTAAAAAAGATGACAGCCCTTCATATGTATACAAACCCTAACAACCCGACACAAAGGGCGGAAAAAATAGAAAGAGCATCTCCCAGTAAGAAACTGTATTACCAGCTCCATCCTAGGACAGCTATTTCATGTCTTCAAATCTGCACTCGCAGAGCTGAGTGCTGAAAGCAGCAGTGCGTGGCATTTGCTCAACAGAAGTCAGAAATGCAAATCAAGCATTCAACATTCCCTAAGAAACAGAACCAAATGACATTTCTCATAAGGCTACCACATAAATTTAAGGCATATCCATATATAATGATCATTACGTGTGCAGTTCTAGTTCCCATCTTTCCAGAATGATTGGATAGAGGTGAAAACCTTTCTAACCATCCTGGTTGGTCACATTTAAGTATGGTACGACTTCCTTGTTCCATAGTTCTTCCCTTTGGATGTTTCAGCCTAAATAGAGATAGCATCAAGAAATACAACAGATCTACAAAACCACAGGGGGCATAAAGGGAAGCAAGAACTTACTGTCACAGATCCAGCTCTCATAAGGAAAGGGCAACAAGTAAGATTAACAGGTACAAAATCTCTGTTCAAAACACAGAGAAGGAAGCACTAGTTTACACAACTTAGAGCTGGGTGGGGAACTGCTCAAGAAGAGGCTAGACTATGGAAAATAGTGATCCATCTAGGATTAGCAAACACAGACATCTCAGGAAGTACCTGAGTCACAAATGACCACAGGCTGAGAAAGCATTTGGAGCAGATATCACATATACTTGCCCTGATGTTGCAATCAGTCTCTGGGCAGCCAATGTTAGTCAGTATGGAACAATAAACTGAACATTCAGGTTTTCTTCTTCCAGAATTTTAATAGAAGATGTGGGGAAAAACCCAAAAGAAACACTGAAGTCATTTCTTAATACATGCCCTTTCCTGTGAAAATTTTAATAAAAAGCTGTCTGGCAAAATCCAGTTTAAGATCTATTTGAAATAAGGTACACCCGCAGTTCATCTCATGCAAAACCTTTTTAGCATTTGTATAGCTTTACTGTTTCACAACACTTTGCCCTCCCTTTATAAGCTATTCCATCTTACAGATGGAGTAACGGAGATAGATGGACTAAGTAATTGTTTCAAACTCCCCAAAGAGAAACAGCTATTAGAAAATGAGGAGTTTTTTGCTTCCAATTCTGTGTTCTGTCCAGTAGATTACAGTACTCTCTTAGAGATTACAAAATAAAGGGATAATATATTCACACAATCTGCCGCATTCAGGGGAACTACTGAGTTCAATTCTGGTCAATACATCTCAAAAGACAGAACTGCAGGGGAAAAGGGCTCGAAGATAACCAAGCAGAATGAGAAATCTGGAAAAATATCACCTATACAAGCAGAGGCTGAAAAGGTGAGGATTGCTAAGCTTAGTGGGAAGGTAAAAAAGGGAACAGAAGAGAAATCTACAGAGAATGACTAATGAAGAACTCCTTTCATCCCCTTCACATAAGGCATATTAAATGACAAGAACTATTTGAAATCGGAGAAAGAATTTATAGTGCATATAGCTAACCCATGGCACACAGTGCCACGTGATACTGAGGCAAAAAGCTAAACAAGTGCAGAAAAAAAGTGGCTGAGACGAGAATGCTGGCAATGACCCAAGTTCCATTACAGCAAATAAAAATACTGAATGAAAATAAACTTCTGCTGCAAGCCACGTGTCAGCAATCAACAGCTCTTCAGACTTTCTCAAAGCCATTCTCCAAGGGGATTCTATTGTTTAAAGGGGTTTGCTGGTTGTTTGCATCTTACCTCACAGCCTTTGTAAGCTGACCACCATCAGGAGAACCAGGGCAGTCTGCCTGACACAGCACAGCAGCTACTTCGGTACAGGTAGTATGCTTCTTAGAAACAACACAACAGTTCTTTGCATCCTACCAGGAAGGTGATTGGTTCTTTCCATCAATCATTCAAAAAATTCCTTCAAAACAAACTCACAGAACTTGCCACCTTGAGTTCTGTTGTCAGAAAGAAGTGGGGACAAAGCCAAACTGAACTAATGGAAAAAGGGAGGACAAGGAGTTCCTCACAGCACAGACCCTAGAAGGACAACATCTGGCTTTTTAGCTCCACACTGAGCCACCACATCTCCTCACTCCTGGCACAGCACCTTCAGCCAGGCAGTGACCACGCTCCAGATGGCCATCCCTTCCAGCAACAGCAGAGAAAGGAAACTTCCCCTTCAACTCATTCTCTCTGATGCTTTTGCCTTATTTTTTCTAATATACCTATGTTGTTTTGTTTTTTAAAACGTATGCCTGCTCCACGTGTATTTATATACAGACATAAATAAAAGCCTGAGGTGGAAGGTTTGGGCACAATGGAAGGATTAATAAATAAATAAATAAATGCACATCAAGGTCTGCGTGTATTCAACAAATAAAAGCAGAATTATATAAAAGCAACAGCTAATAAAAAAGATTGCTCTGTGCTGTGTTTTCCATCTTTCCAACCATTATAGGAATAAAATTATCCACAGAGATCGAAAACCTTTTTCAAAACTAATACAATTAAGCTTTATTACACTGTTTCAAGTACATTTCTCTCCTCTCCCTTCTAGCCCCCACCACCTCCCACTCCAGTCTAACGGTTGAAGGCATTCTTCCATTTTATTATGAACAAGATGCTACTGTTTGAGGGTCAGAAACTTCTCAGTGTTTCAGGAAAGGAAAGAAACCCTGCACTTCTTAATCTACTTTTTCTTTGGACATGCAAGAACACAAAGGCAGTCTCTGTGCATCTCCACAGTTTGCAGAGGGCTATGAGCAAGCAACATTACTCCCTAAAACGATCCTGCACCAAAACAAACAAAAAGACCACACTGCCTTGTTTAGAAGTTATAAAGGACACAGATCTCAAAAGGAAAACACTAAATGCATAAGACTTGAAGAAGAGCACAGTGGAGGTTGGTCACAAACATCTCCCCATTCCGCTGCCCATAAAGGACACACACAATGTTTCCCTGCAGTTTGTCTCATGAGACCAGATCTGGAGAGAAGAATGTAATGGCAGCACACAGCATGAGACCAAGAAATTGCAAAAAATTCCCTTTGCGTATGAACATATGGACAACTGTGATAATTAGAACGATAGCTGCTGGATTGTTTGCAATTTCACTGAACAATCCCCATTATCTAGAAATAGAATTTAAAATCTGAATGCAGCACTAAGTGGTAGTTTTAATAGTTTATTTTTTAATGAACTGTATAGATTAAAGTGTTGCAAAATCGTATCATGTGAAATTGCTCGTGGGCATGTTTTACCATCAATGGCTTAAACAAACCAAACTGCTGCATGGACAACCATGCAGCAGCAAGGAATGAGAAGGGGAAAAGACGTGCCAGTAGTTTCCTATCATTTCTATAATCTGTAATTTTCTTGTGTTCCATATTCACCATGATGCTACACGACGGTAGTAAAGCTGATTGATTTCCATCTCTTTACGACCCACCTTGCTCATTGCTTTGCATTTTTCAGTCACATAAGAATGAATTGGATGTATGCAACTCCCTGTCAGGAGGTCTAATTGCTTCAAACTGGAGAACATTATTCTCCACATTTATTAAAAAATAAAGGCTACTTATAATATTATTTCATTTTGCCAGGAAGTAAAAACTGCATTAGTTCATAAGGAACAGCATGGCTGCTCCTATTTTTATGGCATCAATTTTTAAAAACTCATCATGGTAAACAATTAAACAGAGAAGCAAATCCCACATTTAGGGGAGAGATTCAAATCCCTAAATGGATTTTCAAAGGTCATTTCAGGCTTAAAAGATGCTTGACAGTGTCTCTTCAAATCAAGTTCATTTCAAAGGCTTATCCAGCAAGAAACAGTGCTCTGCAGCAACATCCTTTGAACTGCTGGGCTCCCCAGAGGACAATTAATAATACAACTTTAATTCATATTTAGAGCAAGATTTGTGATTTAAGAAGAGAGAGACCTAGCAAGGATTTTTAACAAAACAAAAAGCACACAAAATCTAGCTTTCATCTAAACCCCATAATGAAAAAAAGTTTGAGTTGCTATGAACTTTATTTCAAAATCATCTAGTTAAAGACCACTTATCTCTAAACGTGAGTTCTTCACAAGGCTCTGTTTGTACAGCTTTTTCATTTAATTACATAAGGAATGGGGGCAGACAAAGGGTGCTGACAGTTCCAGGTTTCAGCACAGTGCTTCTTGGCTCTCTGCTCAGATCCACAACCGATCCCAATAATATCCAGAGGCCACAAACAAAGGACAACTAGGCCTTACCTTCCTCTCAATACGTGCCAACTGCTCTTTATAGAAGGCCTCTTGTTGCTTCAGCTCTGCTTCCCTGCCTTGCAGCTCCACAGCCTGGGAAGAAGAACAAAGGAGAATCAGTGGAAGAAGAAATTAAAGGTAAAGAGCATGAGGACATGGAAAGCACATGAGATGCAGACTGGAACTCAGAAAAATCCACATTGCTCAGATATGGGATACCTGCCAGCGCAGCTTCAAACTGTTCTGCTTCATTTGGGACTAACCCCACAGGTCTGAAACACTTGTTAGTAACATACTCAAACACAACACCTTGGTTTTATTTCTCCTTTTTATATGAAAGCCTATAATTACACAAAGGTAACGTGTCTGGACTTTCCTATCATCATTTTCTGAAGTCTGCCTCATGCAAGTGCATCACATGAACCATGATGTTTATTACAACTTCCCTCATGCTACCTTAAAAATAAGCCTCGAGTCCTCCATTTCATAAACACTACTCTGAGTGTCACAAAACTTCTACAGTGGTAACGCAGCCCTGCAATCATAAGGGAAACACCCAATGCAAGGCTGTGTTACAACATTTATAGAGCAACACATTCTCACAGACCATACATGTGCTTCTACACACCTAGATAAAGCCACTGCCATAACAACTAAGTGCACATGTCTCTGGATGCCTCTGCACATACAATACCAGGCTGCACACCCAGAGCTCTAGTTGGGTGATACAGACTTGGAGGGAACATTATGGTCAGAATTCCTCCTCTTTCTTCTAAGTAGAAGCGCGATGCTTCCAAAGTTTGGTATACAAAAGCATGCTGAAGGCCTTACCTGGTTATCAATTAAACAATGAGCAGTTTAAAAAGTAATAATAAAATTGCTTATAGCAACAGCTTTTGCCTTTCAGCTCTTTACAACTGGCAGCACTTTGCTGCATTCCGACTCCTAAGCTGAGTTAGCATTAAGAAAACGTGGCATTGATGGAACTGAGCCAAGCTTTTTAAATCTAAAAATAAAAAGCAACAATAGCTAAAAGAATGGCACTTGTGTTTCTCTTCCCATCCCTCTCCAAGATCTCTGGGGCCTCGTAAGTTACCACTGCACAGAAGATCTTTCAAAACGAAACGAATAGTCAGTTCACCATGAACACACACCCTGCTAACCTACAGCATCCCAGCAGCACCGCTCATAACTTTAATGGTGGTACAATCACAGAAAATGCTGGTCCAACATGATTAAACAGCTGGGACGGAAACATCCCCGTGGGCTCAGACCTGTCATTTTACAGCCAACAGCCATTGTTAATGAGAAAAATTACATCTGAAAGCAAGTTGCCATGCATTTCCTTCTTTCTGCTCCCCTGCTGATGAACTACAGCAGTATAAATAGGGCTAAGAAGAGCCTTTAAGACACACAGTGAGAGATGGCTGATGAGCAAAGTATGAGCACGTGAAAAAGAGATTGGGGGTCTGTGTGTTTTTAAATAAATAAAAAACCAGCTCATTCTCATGTTTGTCAGCCCAGCCAACAGGGCCAGGATAAGGCGCAAGCTCTGCAGACACATCTACATGCCCTTGTTCTCAAAGGCTCTGCTTAACAGCAAAAGCTCTGGCTTTGGTTTTGCCGGAGCTCCTGTATAACCTCCAGCTCGCACAGCAGATGAAACATGCTAAGGGGGAGGCCAGGTGAGAGATGAGCAATACCTCTGCAACAACAAGGGCACTGATGGGCACCTCCTAATTGCCAGAATTTCTTTTTTTTTTTTTTTTTAAATAAGTGAACTGGAATGATCCTTTTGAACACAGATCCACCGTCTGAAAGGGACTAGGCAACTTCAATTGAAATGAAAGAGAGAAGAAGGGACAGTGGTCTGGTGGGTATGCAAAGGACCTCAATTCTCCTACTAATTTTCTGCATAATACCCATAAAATAAGATTTCTAGAAAAGTGCTTCACGTTTCCTTAAGGGTAAAACATATAAGGAAATGAAAGAGGAGTAACAGAGTGCTGTCCCTTCTGCACAATTAAGATAGAAGTTGCTCTCAGTGTAAAGCATAATACAAGATGAAAACAGTCAAAAGATCAATCCTATAAAACACAAGAAAGTTTCTCCGTAGTCCAAGCAAATGAATTATGTGGCAGTGCTACTCTTCTGGGGTAGCAGACTTCTCTGTGAGAACAAAAACAGTACTTACAATGATGCTGGCAGCAAGACCTTAGCATACACACCATTCTACTTCCCAGATAATCCCACATTACCACCATTAAATTGCACGATGAACCAGAGTCTGCAGCGAAAATTTTTACTCACAATTCAAACATGTTTTTAGTGTTTCAAAGAGCTGCTCAAGCATACTGAACACATTCTATGGAGTGAAATATCTGCTTGGAAGTTGCTTCTGTTTCCCTCTACTCCCAGCTGTTATTACCAGAAACTTTAGTACACTTTATGATGATGTTTGAAGTATGAATGGTACAGTCAGGGTGTACATCACTTGAAATATTCACTGTTCCAAACTGGGTTAGACAGCAAGGGACATTTTCAATGAACATAGGATATTTATTAAGACTTCCTCTAGTCCTCTACTCCTCTAGAGTGCCTCCTATTCCCTACCTTAAGTCAGAAGCCTGTGATGTCCCAGACAGAACTGGCTGCTAGAGATGATTATAATTTCACAGGGGACTGAGATTGCAGGTGGGAAACAAAGCATCAGAAACACTTTTCACATAAAGGCTTTTAAAAATAAAGAATGGAAAGGGAAGGAAAGATAAGACAACGGTTTGAAAATCAGATATTGGAAAACTGCATTTCTCATCCAAGCTGCAGAAATGACATCTGAGCTGGAACATGGCATGCAAGAGATGACCAAAGTAGGGAGATGACATCTAAGAAACCGTACTGTAGAACACAGGCTGTCATGTCAAGGAGGAATGAGAAAGAATAAGGAGGGAAGGGAGGCACACTGCAGTTGATCGTAGAATATTCAGATGCACTCTTAATTCTGAAGAGTAACACAGGACAAATATTTGCAAAACAGAATGTATGCAACAAGCAATTTCCATCTGCACAAAACCACCAGATACTTTTAGGAAATGCTCACAAACTCTTTGTAATGAAGTTAAAAGCATTAAATTCCTACAAAAAGACAGCAAAGATAAGCTACAAGCACACTACTACAGCTTCCAGCTGCATGCATACCTGGACTGGCTGGGGGCTATTTCAAGTTCTTCCTACTTTTTAAATCTTCACACACTTTTCAGAGCCCAAAGTTTCTCAAGTTATCTAGATGCCACCTTGAAACACGACAGAGCAGAAGCACAGGTGTGTGTGACTCCCTGCCTCCTCCCCACCCTTTATCTAGCAATCCATTTAGATACCAACTGTGACAGCACATCTTTAGAGTTCTGCATTACGTATTGGCTCTGCTGAAGAATTCAAGCATCGGCCTGCTAGCTGACAGCCAGGCCAAAAGAAATGTTTTGCAAATCTCTTAATTGAGTTAATGAATTATTGGTTCATTCTGTCTGAACAGAGCAAGAAACTGAGCCTCATCCTGAGCTGCAGCCAACACAAAGCTCAACATGCAGTGCACCTGGTCTTGTAGAGCCGGGCTTCACTCTAGCTACATCCATTCACAAATCAGCTTTGGTTTTCCTCTGTGAAATAACAGCAGAGTTTTATTACTCTTAATCACAATTTCCTTCTCATCACCTTGTTAAATGTGAAAACTAGAAAGGAAGTCTGCTTTGGAAGGGCTTCTTGGCAGGGTTAGGTTACAGCAGGCAATGCAGCACGTGGGAATCAAGTGCAGGAAGAGCACAGCCTGCAGCTGCTGGAGACCTGCAGTGCTGCTGGGAGACAGCATGGAAAAGGCTACTGGGAAAAAAAAAGCCCCCTCTCTGGAAAGGGTGACTCAGTCTAGAAGGGATGGTCCATACTTCTGAGGAAGTAGATTGAGGTGGGTAAGTCAGAGCACTTGGCAAGGTTATTGTAAAAGTACTTATTAGCCAAACACATTCACCAGTGACAGAGGAACAAGTGAGATGACACCCAGAGAGTCAATCAGGAAACAAGCTACAGTGATAATAAAAAAAAAAAGGTCCTGAAATCTTTATCAGATGCTTTGGTTTTGCACTTTGCTGAGAGCAGCCACCAGCTTCCTCCAGAGGTGTCAACCAACATCCCTGCAGTGGCACAGCAGACGTTAGGGCTGGGTACCTCAACCTGCCACACTACACCAATCTTACACTTCATGCTTTCCAGTGTCTCTTCCAGTCCTGGCAGCAGTCCAGGAGGAAGGGGAGAAAAACAAATACTGTTAAAGGCTCCAAGAGTAGACAAAGGAATTGACAGCAATGCACTGAAGAGCAGGACTACCTCCAAAATCAGCTAGTTGGCACACTCCTGGCCAAGCCTAAAGAGAACTGCAGGGCTGAAAGGACAATACAAGCAGCAAGTGGCAGCCTGCACACATCATGCTCCAGAGTAAGCAGCAAACTCTACAGGGAGGGCTGTGCCAGAGCAGCAACCATGGGGGAGCATTGACTGAACTTCCATTTGCATCAGCAGAAATATCACCAACAATGCAGAGCTGCCTGCAGTCACTATTCCAAACAGGCAAGGCCTACCACATCACTTGCTTTTTGCCCCCTTTCTCTCATTTTCCTGAAGGCTGGTGACTGCTTCGTTTGTTTTAGACCCCAGATGCAGCCTTACAGCCTTAAAAAGCAGTACTGGTGTAATCTTCATTTCCTCCTGTTTCTGCCACTGTCATCGCCAGCTACACACACCACCAGATCAAGTTTGGTTTCAGCAGCTGTAAGCTACACAAAAGGAACCAGTGAAACCTTTATGGAGGAAATAATATGCAATTTTCTAGCTGAACACCTTTTAAAATGTAATGACAGAAAATAAAATCCTGCATCTGTGCTCAGCAATAACAATCTGTACGCACACAGTAACAACATGACACTTGGAATAAGCAAGATCCAGACAAAAAAAAAAAAAAAAAAGAGCTTACCCAGGCATCCAAATCCTCAGGCTTGGAATAAAGAGAGCGCAAGAGAAAAAGGAAGGAAAAGAGAAGAAAAAGA